TTTATTAAATAAATCAATACTTCAATTTCTTTTTACATGCCTCAATGGTTCTATTTATAACACCAAACGACTCAAAATAACTAGGGCATGATTACAAGTTTCAAATTAGAACACTTGCGAAAAACAAGTTTGTAATTTTAGGTGTCATCTGGGATCACTTTTATTTTTTATTTATTTATATTTTGATTTGAAATAAAATATTTGAGTTGAATTATTTTAAAAAATAAAAATATGAAAAATAAGAAATAACACTAAACAAATGTACTTTTAAAAACAAAAACACAAAACAAGAATGATTCTTAACAAGCGCTTAGTTTTAAAAAAAATAAAAAATTTCCAACATTAAAATAATATTTGTAGCAACTTCTCATAGGACTAACAATAACTAAAAAGCTCAGCTACAATACTTATCCAAGAAAAAATAAATAGCACAGATGTAAACGATCCCAAGAAAGGAGACTACAAAAACTAAGAAGGAACTTACATAGCTACAGTCCTAAAAGGCAACAGCCACAAAAAAGAAGCAACAACAGCAGCAACAACAACAACATCAAGCCTTTGTTCAACTACGTGGTCAAAGATGAAGGAAATATCCAACCCCACATACAACAAAAGTTCCATAGATAGAATCATTGGCTAAAAAATGCTACAGAGCCATATGCAAAGGAAAGCATATACCGCAAATTAATGGCAAAGAGCGAGTTTGCAAAGTAGCAAATGGACAAAGTATGTAACTAACTTTTGCTATAACAGAAATTTGAGACAACTAAACTAAGAAAACAAAGGGATTAATTGAAAAGACTTATGATGGCCAACAAAACTCATAGATGTAATTAAGGCTTCATTTGGGATAGTTTTCTTACTGTTTTCTAAAATAATTTTCTAATAATTTTTTTAAATAATAAAAAATAATATCCAAAAGTTGTTCCAAACAAAGCCTAAAGAACAAAAAGTATTGCTTGTCCTCAATAGGATCATCATCAAAAGCAAGCCTAACAAAACAAAACATATATAACAAAAAACTCCTAACTACTAAAACTCAAAAATACTTGTTTAAATGTTCAATCTATATGCTCCTGATGATTATAAGCTTCTAGATTTCAATCATTCCCTCTCTAACTCTTGGCTAAGGAAGGCCTACCAAAGCTCACTCCCCTCTCCTCTAAAATACTCTTGCGTGCATCTCTTGGCCTCCCAAAACCTTGAATGTTCTGATTCTCAAGAGCAAGGTCATCAAATCCTTTTTCCTATCAGTTAAACTAACCTCAAATTCAACCATAAAATCCTTATTTCTTGGTTCATACCAGCTCCACAAGTTTTCAGCAAACCACCAACTCTAGATATTCTTGAAATATTATACAGGTAAACCTTAATATAATTTATAACAAATAAGGAAAAAATAATGGAAGGGGATCGTTATTTCATAAAGAAATTTAAGACTTGAAGGTAAGGACAACATTTGGCTGAAAAAAGAAGAAGACAATGGTTGGCCTTGGAGACTTCATCGACGTGATAATTAAAGCACCATTAACAAGCCCTTAAATGTGATTTCATAGACTCATTAAAATATAAGTTCTGTACAATGTAACCAACTTCTTCCAATTCTCTTATACTTTACAAGCTTAGATAGCACAATATGTGACCAGTGTCTTAAAAGCATTAAACATAATGTGATGTAGAAGCTTCAATACGCATGGTCTAAAATGAAGCAAAACTTTTAAGAACTAGAGAGTTAATAATTTGTATATCATTTATACATATATTAGGTGCATATAAATCATTTAATCAACTAAAATTAAACAAAAAAAGTAATCATTTTCAATCATTATAATGATCTGCTAAATAACAATAATTTCCAGCTACTTGAAAGCTAAGAAAATCAATGACATAAATAATAAAGATATGTAATGATACTTAAAAATCAAGAATATTCATGAAATTGAGCAACTAACTAGATACCAAGAGGTGGAGACAATATGAAATGAGATAGTGTAAATATGAGGCATTAAGAAGCATTCTTAACAACAAGCTTGTGAGCTAGAAGTGGCTAGTGCTAGCAATAAGAACAAAAATTTGAAATGCGCAATTTGACTTTCAGGCGTTGTCATGTTGTGAGGTGAGGTGCAAGTCTAAAGGAGTTTTGAGGTGTAAGACTCAGACTTAAACTATAAATTTATTGAAAATTATAAAATAATAACATAGTAAAATTGACGTAAGATGTTAAAATAAAGTCATAAAAAATCAAAGTAAGACTATTAAAAGTCATACAATGCTACATTATTAAAAAATATAGTTGATTGTATTTTCTCTTCCCCCATACTACAAAAAATGAAATGGGTTTTCAAAAATAAGAGGAGAGACGTTGGAAGAAAAGCAACGGCATTACAACAATGATGTTGAGGCAGTAAGATTGGATGCGGATGTGAGGGTCCTACAACATGCGGTGAGTAGCTGCGAGTTTAAGGTCATGCTGTTATTTTCAAGTTTTGCTTGGTATAGGTATAATAAATTGATGTAGAACGGGTAGGAGGTTTTGAATCCTAAGGGTCTTGAAGAGCAATTAGTGAGGTTTAAACAGCATCTTTGACAGCAGGGACAGCAGTTTTGTCTTGTAGAAACTTCAGGACAGCATGTAGAATCTGTCCGGAATACAGAAAACTGTTCTGGACAGCAACCTATATTGCTCAGAAAAGCTTTGGGCAGCACATAGAAACTCTGGGACAGCCATTCGTGGCCTTCCAAAGTGCTGGACAGCAAGATATTCTTGCTGGAATAAGTGGAAAACCAAAGTCAGGTGCAGGAATTTCTGGCAGCAAGCTTGAGAAACAGAAATATGAAGTTGGCTGGGCTGTGAGGGAGGGTTTCGGAGGAAAGAAGCTTGTCCAGATACATGGGAAGGAGACGGATAGCAGAAGGAATGATTTGGAAATGTTTCCAAGTGGGGAGGAGGGAGATTTGAGGAAAGAAATACGTATGAGGGCCTTGGGAGATTCCGGCTAAGGGAGATAGAGGCTGATTTGAATTTATTTCCAAGCGAGGAAGATGAGGTTTAGGAAATAAATCATTGCATTCATTATAGAGGGGGGACCGGCGGCATAATGATGAGGGAGGAGATTGGGGGAGATGATTTGGATTATTTAATTAAGACCTTTAGGAATTAGGAAAGTGACTAAATAAATCTAATTTGAATTTGAATTTCAAATAGATTTAATTTAAGAGCATTCCTAAAATAGATTTGATAAATTAGGAAAGATTTTGAATTTCAAATTAAGTATTTAGAATTCAAAATTCTGTCCAAAATTTATCCAATTCTAAATTGAGCATGAGGCGTAGAGAGGGAAAGGGATGGGATGAATTAATGAGGCATTCAATGCCAACTTAAATTAATAAACTAAATTTGGCATGAAAAGATTTCATCCCAATTTAATTTAAAATTTAAATAGACTATGAATTAGTAAGTTTCCTAAAATAGGGTTTAGAAATTAGGCAACTATTCAAATTTAAATAAATTTGAATTTGATGAAATATGAAAGTTAATTTAGGAAAGACTTGATGGCAAGTGGAGAGGGGAGGAAACCTGCAAGGGGATGGCCGGGAGCTTGTGGCTTGGCCATGAAAGGTGGTGGAGCTAAGTCCGGTTTGGTGGAAGTAGGAAGAGGATGAAGACAACGACTATGAGTAATAAGAAGGAACAAAACAAATAAACAAAATATAAAAGATACAACCGCAAGCCCGGACACATCCTGCGGCTGACGGGTACTACGTTGCCCTTCTCCAAGGGACTTCACACCACGCCCGGACTCATCCTGCGGCTGGTGGAAACTCCGACTCCCTCCCATAGGGATTTCACTAAAGTTCTTCCCAAAGAACACAAGTGCAAACAAAATTTTTTTCATAATCCATCATGCCAAATACAAGAGAAGGGGCCTCTATATATAGGCCTCAAAAGAAATTAAAAGACAGATTAGCCCCTTGGGCTTACATAAGACAAAAGGGTAAAAAGGAAAATTGCAAAATTAAATTAAAATACACTTAATAAACTAAAATAAAACAAAGTGATCTCGGTCGTCGATCTTCAGCTCCTCCTCGAATAAGCATGGACGGTTGGATGTCCGCATCATAAATAGGCTTATATATATATATATATATATTATAGAATTACTTAAATTATTATAGAATTACTTAAACCATAATTTTTTATGCTTACGCCTCTTCAAACTTGCATTAAAATAGCGGTGAAACATGCATTATGATACGCCTCACGCCAACTGAGGTGTAAGCCTCATTAGGCAAGTGTGAGGTGGGAGCCTCATTACTTTTTTTTTTTTTAAATTAAGTTGAGACGAGCCTCTAATTGCAGAAATTTAAAGTATGATAAAAACCAATGAGAGGTAGCGTGCAATGAGAAGAACCACCGAGAAGCAAATGAGCAATGACTTGATGACAAAGAAGAAATGAATGTTTGCACTTAGTTATTGCAATAGATGCTAAATCAAATGATGAAATTTGAACAAACCAATCAAGATTTTGTTATGCTATGGAGTTGAGTGCACAGTGCTATAACACAAAGCAGCAAAATGTCACAACACACATGCTTGTTGTGAGCTTGTACTTCACAATTAAGTGATCCGCAACCCTTCGCTTTGCTTCACAGCTAAGACGCTTTTAATAACACAATAAATAGTAAAAAAATCATTTTACCTAGCAAATGCATCTCACTTCAAACTAAAAATAAAGGCGATATTTCTACAGTCACCATCATTGAATCAATCACTTCCCTTTCTAAGGGTTAAACACTCAAAATATGATAAAAAGCTCCTAATAGTGGTATATTCCTATTGGACAAAAAATACAGTTAAACAATTGCAATCAAAGTTGTGTAATCATTAGGCTATAATATCTGAAAAAATGACATTAGTAGAGAAATGCAACAAAAGTAACGAATTGGAAAAGAGACCTATATATGCATTAACTGTCATGTATATAGAAATTGTAATGACCTTACCAAGCAAGAGATTACTGAGAATCATCAATCTTAACATTGTCAAACTCAGAAGGTTTTATACTTTCAAATTCTGACAACTGCAGATCAGAACCAGTTTGATTGAACTTGCCATTGACAGACCATACAGCCCCATGGTACCCTCCAGCAGTCATGCCAATATAGCCACCAGGCCCTGTATTGACATATCCAGGATAGAAAGCACCATTGGGATAGGAAACTGGACTCCGTCTTGCAGCCATCGCACCTTGCCCGCTCCAAGTACCCCTTGGACTAGCATATGGAGCATTATAGCCAATTCCACCATATCCAGCATAAGTATAACCTCCTCCATAAGCCAGCGGTCCAAACGCAAAACTAGGAACAGGTGGTGGTGCATAACCATAAAAATACCCATATCTAGGGTCATAGGGTGGGTATATTACATGCTGGTAATTACTATATGTCCCTCTTCCTCCACTTGCTCTAGAATTAATATGGCCACTAAGATAGTTGTCATTACTGTGGTGGTTTCCATCCTTAGGAACTGCTCTTTTAACCTCTACAACTTTTTTATTCAACTCATGGAAACTCTTCTGCATCACATTCTCCACAGCCTCCTCTGTATCAAAGGTAATAAAACCAAAACCTCTTGGGCGATGAGTTGCACTATCATACATGATCACTACATCAGTAATGCAACCGAATTTCTCAAAATAGCTTCTAAACTCAACTTCAGTGACATTAGCTGACAAACCACCTACAAAAATTTTCCTTGATGCCAATTGACTCTCATCATTAATGCTATTGTTAGTGCCACTCCTACCTAGTTTTCTAATTATTTGAGTGCTCTGATCTGGATATGGGTGATGAGGTGACTGGTAATTCCTCCGCTCTTCAGGTCTTGGTCTGGCTCTCTTCACTTCTACCTAATAAACAATGGGCAAAAAGAAAAAACTAAAAACATAATAATCAAAGATTCAAAGCAAGCATATTTTTCATTTTTTCTAAAAAAGAAAAGCAAATAATTCAAATTAAGCTTCTGCAGCTTTATGAGGAAAAAGCCAAGAAATCCTCATTTCTTTCTGCAAAAACACCTTTTCTATAAATTTAGACGTCTAAAGACTTTATTTCATATCTGTTTATATATGCTTCTTTTGCTACGCAAAGCACTGCCAAAATTCAGGGTCAAATTGAATGGCAAAATTGGATAGCATTCTTCCTGTTTTTTTATCAGAAATTGATTTAAAAAATTGCACCAAAAAAATAGAATAGAAATTGTGCCTTATAAAAGGATAATGTAGTTAAATGGATAGGTTGTGTTGATTGCGATTTAAAAGTAATAGGTTGATAAGAACCCCTTTACAATATGAAAATAAGACCGTACAACAAGCTGTCCCAAAAGCACTCACTGGGGGAAGCATCATGTAAACGTGAGCATCGTATTTTAGTGAGCTTCAGATGCAAGGCTGGCTAAAATATGTGGCTTTTGCAAGCTCCAGCAAATTGGGAATATTTGCAGTTCCAAATGGACAGGGTCACAAGCAAATCATATAATTTTACTATTCAACATTCAGAATATATATATATATATAAAACCAAAATTTACAAACCTACAAATAAGTCAGACTGACCCCTATTGCATAAAACCTAATCTTTGTCAAAACAGATAAAAAGAGGCCAAACTAAGATAAAAAAATGTAATAATTGTTATTATTTTTTTGTTTATGAACTCAAACTAAGCAAATATGAAAAATGCGTCATCTGAAAATCATAATAATAACAACAAGACTTACATTCTGAAATGAAAACAAAGACGGTATGTTCAAATTTTGTACAAAACATTAGTATTCACACATCTAAACCATTCTCAAGAACAACTTTCATGAGTGATAAGTATCATAAGCCAAACAAAAAAGAAACGAAGACACTCTTAAAAAATAATTAATATTAACAAAAAAATTGAGATATTTGTTAAAATTTTTTGAAGAATTTGTTAAAAAAATTCCATGTACTTTGCCGTCTTAATAAAAAGTTGATCTTTACAATTTATAAATTATTTTTATAATCTTCCTATTTGCAAAAAAAAAATGAGAATAAGTTCCTTTGCTTGAAAATAAGAAGAGTTTTGGACGGATAAAACATGAACATAAATACTTAGGTTGCTACCAGGCATCTACTCTAAAATTTTGTCAAACTAGCTATTAGGGTTTAGGCCACAATCTTATCTGATTTTCTAGTAAACAAATAATTAGCATATGGTTTTCGTAGTCTTAAGAATAAATCAATGTTTAAAATTGCGTATTCGGGTATTGAGGCGTTTTTCATTCGTGAGTCGAGGCGTAAGCCTCAAGGCGTTTTGAGGCGTAAGTCTCAAAATCAAAAGATTGTGTAAACATAAAATGATAAATTTTTTATATACCAATGTCGGACATTTACTTCAAGATTTATGTAAGTTTTAATATATATATATAGTGTGAGGTGTAAGCCTCATGCCAGTGAGGCGAGGAAGGCCTCAACCAAGTTGAGGCGCAAGCCTCATAAAAAAACTCGAGGCGTAAGCATCGAGGCGTTTTTTATTGGAATTGCTCAAAGGCGGGCCTCAAGGCGAGCCTCATATTGCGCAATTTTAAACCATGGAATAAATACTTCAATTTATCACATATTGAGCATTATAGCTAGGGCCAACATTATATTTGGTATTTGTCAAGTGATATTAATGCCATTGAATCCCAATGGTTGAAAATGTCCGATCCCTCTTGCTCTAACATGGCAAAGAGCACAAGTGAACCCTCCATGGCATGATCTCTTGTGAGATCTAGTCATGTGGACTCATGCCACCCAATCAAATCTCAAGATGTCAATATGGTCGATTGTCATAGAATTCAATGGGATCTCCTAGACACATTGTCAACTTGGTTTTTGTTATTTTTTTTTTTTTTGTTTTTTGTTTTTTGAAACATAGAGATATTGTCAACTTGCACTGACAAGCTCCCACCAATGTAACAAACTCATCGACCATCAAAAGAGCCTATATAGACATCGTGAACTAATAAGTCATAACAACGGATTGCCAATAACTATGGTTGCACAGTGTGTACAAGGGTTCAAATGAAGAATGAAAGATTAAAATTATTAAATCTAATTAATATTATTTATGGGTAATGGCGGGCATTGGGTGAGTTAAATTATGTTGAAGGTAATTAAAGTTTGTCAAGGACCAACCCTTGGTACTTGATATTTTTAATGGCAAATAGCACACCATAGCACAAAATGCCCATGAATCCATGACATATAGAGCATGGCATAACACGTGTTATTAAAACATAGAGCAACATATAAAAAAAAATATGAATAAAGATAGAACTAAATATACATGAACATTTATGAAAGATAACTAGATTAAAAATAAACTATCATGATAATGAAACCTAACTAGATTTATAAATAGAACTACCATTCTAATAATGTTAAATGTAGAACCTTAGGCTCAAGCACTCAACAAATTAAAATTCAAAACATTAAAATTTGTTCTGCAAGCCTCATGTTAAAAAAAAGAACTTAATCATCTTGAAAATCATAACCATCATAAGCCAAAACAAGCTTGTCTCCTTTATCATCATCATAATCTCTTAAATCATAACATTCTTCATTAACGTCATCATCTTCATGTTCCTTTACAAGAATACTACTCATACCCTTTACAAGAATACTACCCATATGAAAATTGTCTCGTTTTCCTTTAGACCACTCTCGTATATAATAGTTTCTATCATAAGTAGTTTGCCATGCCAAATCTTCCTCACTAAAAAAATAACAATAAAACTAATAAAGAAGAAATAAATAATACTAACATTAACGTTAAGCAGTAAATCAAATAGAGTGTGCTATAGGGGCAATGTGTTATTGCCCATTTGTAGCGCAAATAGTGCAAGCTACATTAATGAATTGTGTTTTTCCATGCAAGTAGCATGAGTGGCGTGCCTTGCCACACTATGGGCAATTGAGCTCACTATTGACATGTATGGTAATTCGATTAGACATTTGAGCCTTAATAATGCATTTGATAATATTAGTACCAATCAACCAACAAAATATGACTTTCTTGAGGTCCAGTCAAGCGGATATATTCGAGCAAAAACTTGAACTGAAAATGCTAATTGGGTTGTGTTGATCAGCTTATAGCCTCAGTTAAAAAATGTTGCTCAAACCCATTAATGTCTAGGTTATGTAGTGTCAAGTTGACTCACCAAGCCTATATCCAAATCTAAGAATAAGAAATTTATAAAAAATGTTTCCTATAAATTGCACACAATATACATACCATCATTTAAATTTAGTGCATTATTCCATTTAGGTTCTATTTCTTCACACAAGGACAACCATAGTTAAATGATTAGGATTGCAAGGTTACACCAAGCCAATCAAAGGTATTTGATAGCCAATGGATTGCTACAAACAAAATTAGAATGCATAGGTAATGCTAGATTTTTTTTACTCAATAATTTACGTAGGATTTAAAAAAAGTACAATAGGTGAATTTTTAGGATAAATATAAAATAAATGTATTTTTTGATAAAATTAAATTTGAATTTTTTGTTAAAGAAATCTGTTATTTAGAATAGAATTAAGTCAAAAATTTTAGAAAATTGTAATTTTGAAATCCTCCATAAATTTCGTATATATATGAGACCATAGAGGGAGAGAAAGAGAGCATGGGGTGTTGGGGGTTGAGTTCTTATTTAATACTGAGCATTGAGTCATTAGACTGTGAGGATCTTGTGCTTATGTGAACTAATTGTATTAGATTTCTTGGGAGGCATGTACACAAAAGAGTTGGGAAGAGTTGTAAGGCCAGTAGTTAGAGTATGAGAAGAGAGTTTGACTGGGATCTTTTGAAAACAATAAATAAAAGAGGTGTCTAGAGAAGGTGAGAGAAAAAGATAATTAAAGAATCGAATAAATGATTGTTTAAGAAATTTTGCGACAATTCCACTGACAAGAAAGAATACACCATTTTAAGAATTTTGAAATTTTTATAGTATTAGTTTACACCTCCATTATTATTTCCATTGAAATATTTTTTTCTTTTAATTATATTTAGAGATTTGGAGTTCTCTTTTATCATTAGATTCAATGTACATTGATTTAGGAAAGAGCACATTTAATCCCCCATTTATTTATACACTTAATAGGCATCTTTATAGTGCACACTACTTAAGAAAAATGCCCAGGTTGTATCTAACCTAGTTATGCAAGCCTACTTCGGTGGGTGCAACCAAGTTAAATTACTGGCAAATTAAATTTGCCGATCAAAAATGTTTTGAATGATTGAAAAAAAAAATCCCTGTAAGATTTTATACACCACAATCGCCATAAGAGGTTATCACATCCCGTCCATGGGTTCGCCATGCGCAAAATCCCATGCACCATAGGATCCCGTTCAAAGGACCCCACCAAAATTCAGGGTAGATCTTTCTTGGGATTCAACGACGCAATTACTTGAATCAAATAAAAAACCAGGGAATGTGATCGAAAGGAAAGGTGGAGAAGGAAATAAATAATTAAAGAGCGAACAAAGTATAATTTGATCAATTCTTTGTACTCTCTTGACTTGTTAAAAATTGGATTTGTCGAGAAATTAAAATCAAATAAAAAATTCATTCCTATAAGATAATATTTACAACTTTTTTTAATTATAAAAATATTCTGTTTAACAAAAAAAAAAGCTTTTAAATTTTGGTCAAAACTAATTTGTTTCAACCATTTAAATTAGGTTTTAACTTGAATCGAGCGAAACAAGCAGGTTTCCACCGAAACACCCTAAAATATTTCCAAACTTCCTAAGCAATTTCAAAGTGAATGTGGCATTTAAAAACTTCAGAAACCATCTAAACTGAAACTCCGCAACCCGCACATTCGTTACTAACCAAAACCGAATTCACGGCAAAAGCATGAAACCGCGTAAAACAATTTTTAAGAAACTAACAAAACAATGTCCTTCAAGCATAGCAACCATTTTACCCAACTCCAGCTCATAATTAGTTCGTTTTTCGAGGATAAACGATATAGAATGCGAAGGAACTGACCGATCTGTTTCGAATGAGATGCTGCCCTTCGTTGATGGCCCTCTCCGCAGCTTCTGGATCAAAGAACTCAATAAAACCAAAGCCCCTCAAATTTCCCGTCGTCCTTTCTCGCATCACCACCACTTCCTTCACTTCCCCGTACTTCTGGAAATATTCTTTCAGCGCCTCCTCCTCCAACTCTTTCGTGATTCCTCCTATAAAAAGCTTTGCAGGATCTGCCAAAGAAGGCGGCCGCGAAGTTGACGACGGTGAAGTTTCCATCCTTTCTTGAAAATTAAATTGGGAAGAACTGAAGCGACGAGCAGAGACTGGTGTGTGCGAGCCGGCGAGGGTTTGGGAAGAAGAAGCGGAGGATTTCTTCAAGCATAAATGAACGGTGGATGATCTTTGGCACAAATGGCATCAGATCTGGAAATATGCCCTTTGTAGATTGAGAAAAGAGGCCGTGAATGGCTCAGGGGGCCGGCCCATCTATTTTGAAACACTGGGTTGACTCCGGCCCACCACATAAATAGCTATATCGTCATATCGATCGACCAAATATGACACTTGCTTTTTTCTCTCCCAGTCCAGATTCTGCATGTTTAATTAGTTACATCAAATTATGGAACACTATATTTCAGGGAAAAAATAATTTTATTTGGGCTTGTTTTTATTTGGCAAAATCTCAAAATAGTCCTCACACTATTCTTAGTATAGGGCTAATTTAAATTTCATTTGGGATAGTTTTCTTACAGCTTTTTAAAACAGTTTTTAGTACAAAATTTCTTGTCCAAAACCAAGCCTTAGGTTTGGTTTGGGTCGGCTTTCTTAAGCTTCATAAATCATTTTTTTAGTAAAAAAAATTTATTTTTATATAAAAAAGCTGCTTTTATAAGCGATAAGAAAGCCGTCCCAAACAAAGCCTTAGGCTTCGTTTGGGACGGCTTTTTTATTGCTTTCTAAAACGGAGTTTTAATACTAATTTTTTTATTTTTGTACTAAAACTCCGTTTTAGAAAGCAATAAAAAAGCCGTCTCAAACAAAGCCTAGTCTCAAAGTATTACCTTGCACTATTTTAGTATCTCAACTTTATAAAATTGGTCCCAAGTTAGACTTCGTTTGGGACAACTTTCTTACTGCTTCTTAAAGCAGCTTTCTTACTGCTTCTTAAGGCTGTGTTTGGGAAGGCTTTCGTATTGCTTCTTAAAGCAGCTTTTAAGTATAAAAATTATTATTATTTAATTAGAAAATTACTTTAAGAAGTAATAAGAAAATTGTCCTAAGCAAAACTTTAATCTCAAATAAATTATTTTGAATCAATTTTATATAGTCTAGAACTGAATTGAAATTATGTTCTATTCTGATATTAAAAATGTCATATATGAATACTGAATAGTCAGAAGCCTATTTTAAAATTTAACTCGTTTTGTATTTGTTATCTTCATTCACATTTTTGTGCAAGTGTAATTTACTAGAACTCCAGCTATATAATTTCTGGGCCCGGTTCTTTTGCCATGGGTTTGGTCTAGTTCAAGATTAAGGTTTAGTCGGGGAACAATTATTAGGTCAGGTGATCTGACATAGCTCTACGTTCGGACGCCAATAACATGTCGTCATGTGGTCTTACTCAATACGGCGCGGCCTGACAACTTGACCCGGGATTGCTATGTTCGCGTATTGCTCGGTATTGCTAGGTATTGCTCGATGTTGCTAGGAATTGCTTGGCAATAATGAAAAATATCGCTCTGTGAAAACCAATACCGAGAAATACCGAGAAAAACTCTGTATTGCTCTGTATTGGTCTTCACATAATGGTATTTCTCGTTATTGCCGAGCAAAATCGACCAATGCCGAGCAAATACCGAGCAATACCTAGCAACACGCGAACATAGCAATCTCATCTCCATTTCGAGTCGGGGTTGTCGGGCCGCACGGTAAATAGTGAGAACACGTGGCACTATTTTACTGGCGTCCGAACGTAAAGCTACGTCAGGTGACCAGACCAAATAAAAGTTCTTAGTTGGGACAACTTTAAATAATAGTTAATTATTTATTTTTTAAAAAAAATTATAATAAAAAAATAACTTTACAAAATAATATGAAAGCTGACCCCAACAAAGCCTAAATAGAAAGGAATCTAAAAACGGAAATTCTAATAGATTGGATTTTGAGTAAGAAGGGCATGCTTGGGAATTGGGATTACTTTTTATTTATTTTATTTTATTTTTATATGAAATGAATTTATATATTATCTTAAATACATATTATTATTTTTAGTGAATAAAAATTTGTACTTATATAATTATAATAGCTTAGTCAACCAGGAAACAGTGATGATGATGTTGATTGATGACATTGACCATTGATGTAATGATAGTGATCAATTACAATAGCTATTTTTAAATATATTAAAAATAATTCAAAATTATTTTAATTGCTTATATTAAATATTAAAAATGACTGTTGCGCTTCTAGCTCGCATTTGTGTTAGCAAATCGGAAAGGTTTAATCATTTGTAATATGCACAATACAATGTCAATTATTATGACAAATATTTATTATACAATTTTTAGCATAATTTTTTATTCAACTTATTTTTGTCTATGTCTTCATAATCTCATTACATTTTTTTTTCCTATGCTATATAATATATATTCAAAATAATGGAAAATATTTTTTTTTAATTATCTTTTTTAATTAGATCCCATTCTTCCTATTCCATTAATATAACAATCTACTAATTTATTAAGCTTGTAATATTGCTACATATATGAGGTTCATTTGAATATTATATTTTAAGTTGAAAGAGTTTTTTTTTTCTATTGTGATTATTATAAAAATTCAACTATGAAATATAATAAGAGATTAATTGATGAATGATAGTTTAATTATTTATATTAAGAAAGAAATAGGTAATCGTATTGTTATTAAAGTAATTATCCAACTCTTTCAAAATATATAAAAAATATGTTATAAATTATAAGCTTTGTACTATCTTATATTTTATTTTTTCTAAAATAACACATTTAAATAAAATATTTTTTTTAAGTTGTTATTGCCGATCTCAAGTATGAATGAAAAAATTTGAAGAAATATTAGAAAAATCTAATTTGTGCCTCACTAGAAAAAAAATTTTGCTCCACCAATAACTACATATCTAAAGAAAATCAAATTTACATATTAAAAACTTTCTTGTTAATAATCTTATATATTAGAACTAATCTTACATATTTACCATTGTTTTTAAATTTGATTTCAAATTTAATTATCTTAATATTTATTTTATGCAATAGCAAATCAAACATGGCAAATATAAACTTTAAAATAAACATGATTTATTAATTTAAATCATGTTGCTTAATTTTCAAAACTTTAATTTATTTAACACCTTTATAGTGTAGCTAATAACCCTTAATTTTTTTTTTCTTTTTTTTTGTAATAATTTTAATTTCCCTGCAATGCAAACTTGTTCTTTCATAAAGATTTTATTTGGAGAGTATTCTAATTTTTCTTTTAAATGTTCATTTTTCAGCAATAAAATGTTTTTTCAACATAATTTTTTAGTGACAAAAGTTTAAAATTAGGGTGTAAACAGACATTATTTTTCACTAAAATTATTTTTCCTATCACAAAAGCAGTTAAAAAGCCGTTCCAAACAAAACCATATATATAACTCCTATGCTAAGACCTAACAACTATTATAAAATTTTGGTACTCAATTTACTTTGCATTCATAGAATATCTAAACAATTGTATTCATGATTAAATTAATCAAACCTCTCTAACCCTTGCATGTGACCTAAGACAAGATAAAGGTCCAAACCAATGAGATGGTCATTAACAACTAATTAAAGTGTGATTAGCTGTAAAATACAGAGTTAGGATATTATAAATTATCATATTAACATCTTGAAGGCTTGCATGATGGGCGTGGGTAGTATATAGCTTGATGGTCTTTCTTCTCCTAGGGATACTTAATCTATGCAAATAAAAAAAATATTGCATTGGGAGTCCCTCCAAACCTCACTACCAAGACTTCTTTTTTGGTATCTTCTCATTGCAAGCATAAGTTGCCTCAATAACATAAAAGTTTGGAGTGTTTTCTAAGCATCGGTTGTTAAGAAAAATGATATTTTTTGCCTTTCTGCCCTTGGGGGTTGAGCTAGTAATATAAGCAATTGTCCATGTTAATCTAGGTTTGTCTTGCATTTTGTAAATGCAATTCTAAAGAACTCTGCATGAAAAGGTAGAGAGTGCAGTGGTAAAGAACAAGGATTAGGGTTACCATATGTTTGTTGTCTACTTTGACCACCCTTGCCATTTGATTACAAATATCAATGCCTTTTTGATGCTATAGGTCATCTTTTAAGTTTTTTTTTTTTGGCTAGACAATAGACATCTTATTGTAAGAGCAACTGTTTTTTTTTTTTTTTTTGTGAAATTTAGGCCAATTAATGCAGACTCAAACACACAACGTATTCACAAGACTCGAACTCAAGACCTCTTAGTTGACAACCTAAGCTCCCATCAAATGACTGCCAAGCTGAGTTGCGAGTAAGAGCAACTGTTATAAGACTACAACTTTAAGCTTGAGACTCTCTTGTTCGATGTAAAAAAGGTGTCAAGTGTTTCATATCTAGAGGTTTTGAAAATGTTGGCATTTGAGCTAAAGTAGAATAAATATAGAGTAAATTTTTGAAGTATTTAAAATGCAACTTTTAGTTTAATTTTAATACATTTCGAAATCATTAGAATTAATCGTTTTCAAATACATTATAATTTTTTCATCATTAATGACACAAACTACTGCCAACGACCACCTCCAACTCGAGCCACCTCTTGCCACTGCTGCTCATTGGTCGTCGTTGTCATAACCTTTCGATCGACGTTGGTTGTCACCGCCACCGTCCTCTATTGATGGCTACAATCGCCTGCTGCAATCTGTAACTGACAACTACAATCATCTTTAAGCTTTGTATAGCATTTGTTTTACTTCAAGCTAAGTAACAAAAAAAAAATATTCATTATCATTCATTTTACATTAATCCAAACATCTCAAAAAATTTTAAATACATTGTATTTTCCTTAGACTACACTTCAGTTAATTCTTTGTTCTCTTGGTGAATCAAACTGCCTCAAAGACATAAGTAACTACTAAATGCGCCATTTTCTTTTCTGAGTATTTATATGGCAGCATTTCCAAAAAATTATAAATATAAAATTATTGAAAAAAAAAGGAGCTATATGGTACAGCTAACACTTATTTTATTGCTACACCAGTAGAATCCCTCAGCTCCTACTTATATCTTTTTTGAACAATTATGTTTATGATAGCTACAATATTTTCTTAAGAATATAATTATCTTTCAATTTAAAAAAATATTGCCATCACAGTAATTATTTGAATCATAATCATTTTTTATT